ATTTTACCTATTAAATTATATTCGCCTAAACACTCTATAGGAATTGAACCTATATAAATAATTTCGAAGATTATTACTTTTACCAATTAAGTAAAGAGTGTATAAAATAAAAATATAAAAACAAGGAAAAAAGGAATTGAACCTTTAAAATTAGTTTTGGAGACTAATATTTTACCAATTAAATTATTTCCTTAAATAATTTAAATAAAGAATTAAATTAATTTTGTATAAAATTTAAAATACCTTTACTTAATTCATAAATAAAACCTATAGTTAAAATTAATATAAATATAGTACCTATCCAAAAACCAAAAAAAGAAATATTATATAAAACAGAAGCAAAAGGAAATAAAAATATAACTTCTATATCAAATACTAAAAATAATATTGCAACTAAATAAAATTGTATATTAAATTTTTCTCTAGCTGTACCTATTGTATCCATACCACATTCATATGGTGATAATTTTGAAAAATCTGGTTTATTAACAGGTATAATTAAATTAATTATTAATAATAAAATTAATATAATAGGTGTTATTAATATAAATAATAATAATGTATTCATTTTTTTTTTTTTTTTTTTATGAATTTTTTTTTTATTTTCCATAATTTTTATTATTTCGGATAGATAAGAATTGAACTTATAATCTTCTAATCCCAAGTTAGATACGTTACCTATTACGCTACTATCCGTACGGGCAGAATGGGATTTGAACCCATGGAAGTTAATCAAAACTTCTCTTCGTTTCAAGCGAAGCACCTTAAACCAACTCAGTCATCTACCCTTAAAAAAATATATTTTAATAAAATTATAATAAAAAATATTAAGAATTATTATAAAATTTATAATGTAAATTTAGGAAATAAAGTTGTTGTATTTTCAGATATTGTTATTATATTAATTGTACCTCTTAATCTATAATAAGCTACTAATATAGATAAAGCAATAGCTGTTTCAGCAGCAGCTATAGATATTATATATAAACCAAATATTTGAGCTAACATATCATCGTGAAGAATAGAAAAATAAAGTACTAATATAGTTATAGCTAATAGTAATATTTCAATAGATATTAATACTAAAAGATAATGTTTTCTATTTAAAATTATACCATAAATACCTATTAAAAATAATAATAATGCTAATTTCATTTTTTTTTTAAATTTATTTTATATAGGATAAATATTTAACCTTTTGTTTTTCGGAAAAAAGGGGATTCGAACCCCTAAGAATATTAATATTCGTAGTTTAGCAAACTATTGCCATACCATTAGGCGATTTTTCCTTTATTAGCCATAGCTCTGAATTGAACAGAGATCAGATCATTAACAGTGATTTGCTTTACCATTAAGCTACTATAGCTAGCTTGCTAATGCCTTGAGAATGACTTGAACATCCTACCTAGAATTTTCAGTTCCATACTTTAACCAGTTAAGCTATCAAGGCTTGCTAAGCTGGGAGCATTGGGACTTGAACCCAAATAATACAAATTAAAAGTTTGTTACTTTACCAATTAAGTTATACTCCCTTATTTTATTTAAAGATTAGAGAGTGAATTGAACACTCATAATCAGGTTTGCAGCCCGATACTTTACCATTTAAGATATCTAATCTTTATTTATTGAAATCGAATGGAATTGAACCATTATTTTTTGCTTATCAAGCAAATACTTTAACCTTTAAGTTACGATTCCTTTTATTTTTGATCTCAGTCCGATTTGAACGAACATTATAACAGTGAAGGTGTTAAATCTTACCCTTAGATGATGAGATCTAATTGCGAATGATTGAGTCGAACAATCTCTTTAAGATCATGAGCCTTATGTGCAAAACCAAATACACTTATTCGCATTTTATTTATTTTGAGGAGAGTAAGATTTGAACTCACATCTTTCCTGTTATGAGCAGTAGGCTTTACCATTAAGCTATCTCCCCTTTGAGAAGACTGGGATTTGAACCCAGAATGGTTATAAACCATCGCCTTTACAGGGCGATTGCAATACCAAAATGCTTTCTTCTCTTTATTACCTACTGAGGGATTTGAACCCTCACACACTAAGTGTAAACAATTTTAAGTCATTTGAGTCTACCAATTTCTCCAAGTAGGTAAATTAGCCAGATAAGGAATTTGAATCCATATAAAGTAATTTACAAGATTACTGCTTTACCAATTAAGCTAATCTGGCATTATAATATAAAAAATATATTATATTTAAATTTTTTATATTATAACTAACTTATTAAATATAAATATATATAAATTATAATAATTTATATACTAAAATATAAAAATAAAAAAAAATTAATATAATTTATTACAAAATTTTAATAAACTTTAGTTATAAATAATAATAATAATAACTAAAAAAAACTTACTTTATTATTATTTTTTATTATATTTAGTAGTTAATAATTTTTTTTTTAAGTAGTTAAAATTATATATTTTTTTCTATAATTTTTTTTATTTATTATATATTCATATTTATTTAATTCTTTTATTATATTTTTTTTAATATAAATAGAATTATTATTTAAATATTTAATAATAATTATATAATATTAATAATCAATTTTATAAATTTTGGATTAATTTATTTAAAAATAAATAAAAATAAAATTAATTTTATTTTAATATATATTAAATTATAATTATTAATAATATATTTATTAAACTTTCTATATGAATAAATTAAATATAGGTAAATTATTTAAATTATTCATTTATAGAATTTAACCAAGTTAAATATTCTTCTATTTTAACTATTTCTAAAAGAATAGGCATACCAAAATGAAAAACACCACATAATTCTGAACATTGACCATAAAAATTACCTATTCTATCAAAATGACAAGTAATTGTATTTAATCTACCAGGAACAGCATCAATTTTAAAACCTGCGGATGGTATAGTAAAACTATGTACAACATCACTAGAAGAAGTTATAATTTTAATAGGTATACCAACAGGTAAAACAGGATTATTATCTAATTCTAATAATCTAAATTGTCCCTTTTCTAAATCTTCTGTTGGTTGCATAAATGAATCAAAAGAAATATCACTATTATAATCTGGATATTCGTAACTCCAATACCATTGGTGCTATGTCAATATATTAATATATTTTGACAATAATCGACTATACATAAAGCCCTTTAAATGTATTAATACATATATGGACCTACAAGTGACCAAGTCTGTAGCAATAAATATAAAAAATAAAATTATTTACTGACGGTCTTGTATAATTATATGGTATTAAAATTTAATTATATTTTAACCGTTTTCACTTGTATCGCCTAAAAATTTATAAATAAAAATTATTTATAAAATTTTTAAAGATTTCTGTCGAAATCTTAGAATATAAAATAGTTTTATTTTATACTCACGACTATTATATATTTATATTGCGTTAAAAGAATTTTATATTTTAAATTTTTTATGTTTAATCTTTATTTTTAAAATTTATTTTATATAACATATTTGGATGAATATATGGTAATACTAAATCTTTTAAATTTTTCATAGAATCAGTTTTAATGTATAAAGACCATTGACCTTTAGTTTGAATTTTTTGAACTGTACAATTTAAATTAAATTTTTTTTTTAATAAATCTCTTAAAAATTCAACTTCTTCTAAAGTAAAACTATTTGTTGCAATTTTTACTCCATATTTAGTAAAACCTCCATCATCCATAATCCAAATAGCTAAAGCTAATGGATCTAAATATTTTTCTAATAAATTTATTTTTATTCTTTTTTTTCCATTTTTATAAAACATTTTATGTATCCAATTAAAACTTCTAAAAGAAAAAGTATTAAATTCATATCCAAAATATTCTTTTATTTCATTATTTTTTTTAAGTTTTCTAGTATATTTTCTAGGTAATAAATTAGTACAATAACCATTATTATAAAAAAATTTATATAACCAAAATAAATAATCTTTATGTATAATACTTTGTTTAAATATTAATCTTATACCCTCTTTAGATTTTCTATTTGCATAACCATCACCTAATAATGAACCTATAATTACACTAATTATTTGTTTATTATGAGGTCCAATTCTTTTATTAGCTCTTATATTAGGAATATTAAAAAAAATAAAAAAAGATTTAATTAAATTATTATCTAAAATATATTTTTTTTCATCTATATTTAATAAGCAAGGAATTACTTGGTTATTAAAATAGATATCTTTTATTTTATTTAAAATATATAATATTAGGCCACCTAATAAGAAACCTATTACTTTTATTGTTACATTAGTTTCTTCAATTTCATCTATTAAATAAATTAATCTAAAACTAGGAAAAGCAATACATGTTAAAATTAAAGCTGGTGTACAAGTCCAAATTATTTCTAATATAGGATTATGATTACTATATTTATAAGATATTGATTTTCCTACAAATTTAGAAAAAATAGATATAAAAACCCATATAATTAATATAAAAATTATTACTTCATAATAATAAATATAACCATTTAATGTATCTATACCTTCCATTGATGTTGTCGCACTATCTTGATATGAAAATTGCCATGGTTCAGGTGCATCATTCCATAAAATAATTTTATTTAATAATTTCATAAATTATTTTTTTTTTTTTTTTTTTTATGATATCTAATTTAAATAAATTTTTGAAATAAAATTTCAAATTAATTAATAAAATTTATATTATATTAATATATAAAAATAATTTATTAATTTATTGGAGATAAAGAGAATTGAACTCTTACTTTAGTTTTGCAAAAACTAAATACTACCATTATATTATATCCCCTTTATATTTTATAATATTATAAAATAATTAAATTATTCGGCTTTGACCGTTTACGAAACGGCAACTGGTTGTTCGACAAACAACAGCTTTCATTAAGCTACAAAGCCTAATAATACCATTAATCCGAATTGAACGGATAACATCTCTTTGGAAGAGAGATAGTTTACCAATTAACCTATAATGGCTAATATAATTTATATAAATATTTTACGGATGATGGGATTTGAACCCATATAGTATATAATACTATTATATCCTAAATATAATGTGTCTACCATTTCACCACATCCGTATATATATAAATTAAAAATATAAATATAAAACCCTTTTATATTTATATTTTGTAATTTATATATTTTATATATATTATATATATAATAATTATATAATTTATATAATTATTATATCTCAATTAATTAATTAATTATTTTCTATTACCTTTATTAATTTATTTATTTTATTCGAGTTGAACATTATTAAAATTATTATTATTTTAAAAATTATTATTATTAATATTATTTTATCAGTTTGGATATTTATATCTTATTGATTATTATTTATTTTATAAATTTAATATTTTATTTTAATAAATTGAATAATTAAATTATTTATATAATCTGAAAAATTACTCGTAGAACAGTAAACATTTTATTATTTTTATTAATGAATTATTATTATTAAGTATATTAATTAATATATCATAAAATCATTTTTAAATTATTATTTAAAATTAAATTATATAAATCTTGATCATTATTATTTAATAAGTATAAAAATTATTTTTTTTTTTATATATATATACTATAAAGTAATGATAATAATTTTAATAAAAATTTTATATTAATATCTTTATTAAAATTATTAAGAATAAAACCAACAATTAATTTATTTATAAATTGTATTATAAAAAATAATTTACAACAATTTTAAAAATATAAATTTTATGTTGTTTATAATAAAGGATAAAATAAATAATTAAAATTTTAAAAAATATCATTTAATAAATATAAATTAAAAAAAAATATTATTAAATAAAGATTTAGTAACAATATTAAAATTTTTTATAATTAAAAAATTAATTAAGAATAATTTAATAAAAAAAAAAACAATTATAATTTGAATAAATAATTTTATTTAATTAAAATTCTTTTTAATAAAATAATGAATTAAAAAGTTCATATAAAATATTAAATGAAATAAAAAAAAAATTATATAATATACTAATATTAATGAAGTCTAAATAAATAAAAGTATTAATCTAAACTAGATCTACCATTATTCATATTAGTTGATAATTCTTTTAATTTCATTAATCCTAATTCAGTAAGATGTCCACCAGATTTCATTATTTCTATACCTTTAGAAAAATCTTTATAATCTAAATATTTCATTCCATAAAAAGAATATATATTAAAAAAAGGAATAACAACTGAAACTATTTTAGATAAACCAGTTATATAATATACACATACATCATTTTTATTTGGTTTAATTATTTTACCAATTGAAAAATAATCTAAAATTCTATTTAATAAAATTAAATCTCTACTATGTTGTGATATTCTAAACATTGGATTACAAGTATAACCTAATTTATTAGCTGATTTTATAATATTTAAACCAAATGAACCATCAGCTTGAACAAATCCTACTATCCAATAAGGATTTAATGAATCAGTTGAAGAAATAAATATAGGTTTATTATAAATAGGAATATTAATAAATTTTTCTTTTAAAGTATTACTTAAACCTTTAGGAAATAAAGATTTAATAGCTAAAATTTTAATAAATCCAGATTCTATTAAATGTTCTTTTGTATTTAAAATATTTAAAGCTTCAGACCATAATTTAAAATGTATAATTTTAGTAGATTGTAAAGGATAAGTTAAAAAATGATTTTTAATTACTTTATGTTCATTTATTTTATGAACTTCAAATCTAATAATATTACCTGATGAATAAATATGTCCTATACCATTAAAATAATTTTGAATAGATTCTAATAATTTAGAATTTTCTGGATTTGTTTTAGCGCATAAAGAAAATACTGGTACTATTCTATAACTTAATTTATATGTTTTACTAATTCTAACTACTAATGAGAAAGTACCTTCACCGTCAGTGAACCCAGTAATAAACCATGGGTCTAATTTAATATAATTTTTGTTAATTTTCATAATATATTATGAGAATTATTATCCATATAAGAATAAGAATGACATCATTAAAGCGAATAATCCCATGGCTTCGACTAATGCAAATCCCAAGATTGCATAAGAGAATAATTGTCCTTTTAATGAAGGATTTCTACTTAAAGAATTTAATAAAGAAGAAAAAACATTACCGATACCCATAGAAGTACCACCTAATGATAAAACAGCTAAACCAGCAGCGATTAATTTTGCACAAGCTAACATATTATATATATATATAATTTCTTAAATTAAAAATTAAACTATATTAATTACATTATGTATAAATACTTTTATATTTATAGAACCATTATTAACTCTTTTTTTACCAATACCTCTTTTTAAAATATTAGTATTATTAAAATTATAATCAGTTAATGATTTAGTATTATTAAATTCAAAAATTCCTTTATAATAAACAAATTTACGTGCTCTACTAGCTTTTCTTCTTTTTGTCAATCTACCAGAAAAAATCCATTTAATACCATTAATATATGATAATATTTGTTTATCCATTAAATAAGTAAAGATATTTTTATAATTATAAAAAAATATTTTTAAATCTTCTGTTTCCATTAAAATTAAATTTTTTTTTATTTTTTTTCTTATAAAAAAATAACTTTTTTTTCTAAAATTTAATGCTAAATATTTAATTAATATTTCACTATTTAAATAAGGTTTTTTTAATTTTATAATTTTTAAAGATACAGGTATTCCCATAAAATTTGTTAAAATTTTATTTAATTTAAAAATTAACTTTTCATTAATTTCTTTTATTTTATATCTTGAAAATTTATATTTATTTATATTTTTATATGCAAATATATAAATATTTAATTTATTAGTATTATAATAAAATCTAGGAGTACTTATTAAAGCTCTATTAAAAAATAATATTTTTAATATTTTTTTAATTAATAATTCTTTATTAATATTTTTATTCTCTTTTTTATATGAAATAATATTCCAATTTCCTATTTTTTTAAATTTACTACTTAAAGGATATTTATTTGACATTTTTATTTTATAAAATATATTATATAATACTTACGAAATTTATTTATAGGTATTAATAGATTTGAACTACTACTATTTTAGTTGTAAGCTAAATGCTCTACCAAATTAAGCTAAATACCCTCTAAAGAAATATATATTCTTCTTAAAAGAATAAATTAAAATATAAATTATAATAAATTTAATAATAATAATTAAAAAATTATAAGATAGAATTATTTTCTATAAAAAAAAAATTTTTTTATTTTATAAATTAAGATTAATATATATTAAAATTAAATTATATTTAAATTAAATATATTAAATAAAAAATAATGAAAGTAGTATAAATATAATAAATTTAAAATTTACAGGAAATAATATTAAAAATAATAAACTAATAATACCAGATATTATATAACCAGAATAATCAGGAATAATATTAGAATCATAAGAAGCTAAATTATTACTCACTAAACGAGAAAATAAATTAGTTAATCCATAAGGTCCTATAATTTCTATAATACCACGATCTATAAATTTATTAGTTTTATGACCTAAATTAAAAGCAGAATAAATAAAAAATTTATTATAAATCCAATCTAACCAATAACCAGAAGCTAAAAAAGAAATAATATATCTAAAATAACTAAAAGATATTTTGGAAGTAAAATAAGGAAAAATAAAATATAATAAATAAGCAATAAAAGCACCAAATAAACTAAATATAAGAGGTAGAAGTTTAAAAATTAAAGGTAAAGAAAATTCAGTATCACATAATTTTATATGACTTGGATGTATAAAAATACTATTAATCCAAAAATCTGAACCTAAACCAATAAATAAATCTTTTAATAAATAACCAAAAAATATACTAAAAATAGCTAATATTATTAAAGGTATTATCATAATAAAATTAGGTTCATGAGAATATTTATAATTAGATAAAGGTCCATTAGGATTATTCATAAAAGTTAAAATTAATATCTTAATAGAATAAATACTAGTTAAAAATGCAGTCGTAGTACCTATCCAATAACCTATAGAACCTTCTAATAAATATTGACCATAACTAAACTCTAAAATTATATCTTTAGAATAAAATCCTGTTAAAAATGGAAATGCCATTAAACTTAAAGAACCTATTAACATTACAGTATATGTAAATGGTAATATATTTATTAAACCTCCCATTTTATTTGTATTTTGCTCATCATTTAATGCATGAAGTACAGCCCCTGCAGACATAAATAATAATGCTTTGTTTGAATAGGTAGACTATTTCTAGTTTTCCCCTCATTAGAACCGTACGTGCAAGTTCCCCTGCATACGGCTCAATCCTTAATGATATTAAATTTTTAAACAAGAAAAATTAAATGAATCTTTTTTAAAATATAAATTATATAATTTTTCTTTATTTACTTTTTTATGTTTTTTTAAAGCCCATATCCAACTTCTATTATAAATAAAATTTTTAATAAATCTTTTAGTTTTATTAGATTTACCTAATAGATTTTCCCATTTTTTAATAAAAATATTTAACTCAATTATTAATTGGTCAAGGGATTTATTTAATTTAAAAAGATCTTTACATTCTTGTTTAAATAAAAAAAATAAAAAATTTTTATTTAATTCTAAAATTTTTATATTTATTATTTTTTTTTCTCTAATACCTAGTATCAGAGATAAAGATTTTATATCTTTATCTTTTAATATCTTTAAGAACTTACTAATTTGGCATTCTCTCGAATTGGTTAAATTTAACCTATCCCTAATATTAATTAGGGCATTACATTGAATAAAAAAATAAAATAAAGGATAATCTTTAAAATATATATTAAAACAATTATCTTCACTATCACAATCAACTTTTATAAAATATTTATTTCTGAATAATTTTTCTTTATTCATATATTTTTTTATAGTATGATGTTTAGTTTTTAAATTTATTTCTACTTCTTTTATAGAAGCATATTTTTTAATTAATTTTAAATTATTATCATAAAGAAATGTAGGTTTGCCTAAAGAAATACTAATTTTATTTTTGGTTATATCATTTTTTATTTTATTTAAACTCATTTTTGAAAGTAAATCTTTTGTTTGTTCCGAATGTTTATAACCTTTATTAGAATTAGCTAAATAAGAAAGATTCCAACTTTTTTCCCATATTTCTTTATGACTATGTAATAGATTTAAATAATATTGTTCAGTTTCTAAAATTAATGTAGGCTCAACTATTTTTAAAATTTTAAAAGAAATATTATTCCAACCATATTTATTTATAGCATTTGAAAATTTTGAATTTATATGATTATAAATATGAGTATCAAATCTTTTACTTATATTTATAGATGATCCTATATATCTTTTTAAATGATCTTCATTTAAATAAAATAAATATATGCATGATTTTATATTATTTTCTTTTAAATAATTTTTTATTTTTTTAGATTTTTTATTATTTTTATCAAAAACTGTACCTAATAATATTTCTGTTTTAGGATTAAATTCTTTAAAAAAAGGATCTGAATTACTTCGTAATTCGGTAGAAAAATATCTAAAAGGGTAATATTTTAAAGATAATAAATTTAAATTTATTTGATATTTATAAAATTTATTATTAGTATTTAAACTTATTTTATTTATTTTTTTATTACAATATTGCTTTTTAGTAATCCTGCACCCGAACTGTATTAGTAAAATAATTATTTTACCAATCCTTATAAATAAAGGTAAAAACAGTAGATATTTTATTTTGTAAACTAAAATATTTTCGAGCTTACCAATCTTCAATATTGAAACGATTTTACCATCATATTTATGATGGAATGGGGATGAGATCTTCTCTATTCTGCATCTACTCATTATTTGAGGCCCTTTATTTATTTTCTCCTGAATAAATTTTTCAAAAGAGTAGAAATTATAAATCACGATAATACAGTTTTTATGAGAATTCATTTTCATTGATCTTTCCCATCTCAAATTATACTTAAACTTTGCAAATATATACGTCAATATATTCACCTTAAGAAAATTCCCTATGATAGGACCAACCCACGATTTAAAAAAATCGTTTAAAACGAACGATAAAAATATCATTTGTGTTAAAGGATTCCAATATCTATATTGTCGAACGAAGAAACCGTGATTTACAATATGAAATATAGCTATATCATAACCACTTATACCACAAGCTAAAAAACAATATCCTAATTGAGACATTGTTGAATATGCAATTACTTTTTTAATATCATTATGTACTAATGCTATTGATGCTGCAAATAATGCTGTTGTACAACCTATTAATGTTATTATAGCTAATACTGTTTCAGAATATTCAAATATTGGTGAAGCTCTCATTACTAAATATACACCCGCTGTTACCATCGTGGCCGCGTGTAATAAAGCTGATACTGGTGTAGGCAAAATTTATATAATTTTTTCTCTGGTAATCATATATTATCCGAGAAAACGTAATCATTCTCATAATTAATTGGACTATGTCTTAATATAATATAAGTTATAAGTTATTCTTAATATTACTACTCACTATGTTCGTCTAGTAATTGTTTTGTATAATAATATTTATATTATTTTTCACATATAGTCTCTGAGGAATTTTAAAAAGTCAATTAATAGATCGAGGGTATTAGAGATACATTTGTAACGATAATTTCTTTCAAATTTTCCTGCAAATTTTCCTTTTAATTAGATTTTATCGAACAATTTTTATTATTAAATAAACTAATTAAATAATAGGATGTTATTGCATATAGTAAAATTTTAGGAAGGCCCTACTATTATTTTTATTTTCATATTAATTTTCAATTTTTAATTTATATAACATTTCTGGTATCATATATGGTAAAATTAAATTGATTAATTTTACCATACTAAATTTTCTTATTCTTATTCTCCAACATATATTTCCATTATTACTAGTACGTTTTATTACTTTAGCTACAATATCAAAATTTTGTGTTATTGTATCAGCTAATAAATATACTTCTTTAAATGAAAAATTATCAGTGCAAATTCTTACAGTATTACCATCCCAATAACCATCACCCATTATTAAATGAGCTAATCCTACAGGTTTTAATGATTCTTTGATATCTAATGGTATAATTTTTACATATCTACCTTCGACTTTTTTATACCATTTTTTATGTAAATTAGTAAAATAAGGTAAACGTTTAGTTGAAAACCAATATTGAGTTATTAATTTACCAGTTTTAGGATTAGGATAAGGTGTAGGTTCTGTTTTTGTACATATATCAGCATAAATTTTAAATTTTAAATATCGTAAATAAGGTAAATTATCTTTTGAAAATGTAAATTTTAAGAACTATATAGTTATATTATAAAAATTTATATTTTTAAATAAAAACCGTAAAAGATTTATTTTTCTAAAAGTATAGAAGATAAATACCATTTTTTTTGAAATAATTTTCCATTCTTTACATATCTAGATATTGTAGATATACTACAATTAAAATGCGTAGCTGTTTCATTCTGTGAATAAAATTCAAAAACTAAAATAGATGGATTATTATTGGAATAAACATAAATTTTTTTACTAAGATTTGCTCTATGAGTTTCACTAAGTGATTTACCTTTTTTAGCTAAACTCATAAAAGTTAATGTTTCAGAACTATGTTTTTTACCATACATTCCATTATTTTTACCTTTATTATTTATACTCATTTTAAAACGTATTTTTTCGGAATATTTGTAACCCAATAAAAAACTAGCTAATTTTAAAATATTAAATTCTGGAGAAAATAAATTTAAATAATATTGTTCTCGTTCTAGAATTAATTTTCGTGCTTCTTTTTTTGATAAATTTGTAATATCAATATATTCAAGTATTGATACACTAAAATTTTTATAACCATATTTTAATAAAGCATTATTAATTTTACTTTGACCTTTATTTTTTCTAGATATGTAAGATATTGAATAATAATCTCTTAATCGTTTTGATAAATCTATGGCACTACCAATATAAATTTTATTTGATTCTAAATGTTTCCATTGATAAATACCGGTACGGCCTTTATTATTTCTTAAAATTTCTGATTTTTTTGTATAAGCATTTTCATAAATAATACCATTCATACCTGACCATTTTTTTATATTAC